AAACTTGAGACTCAAGGAAACGTATCCTTCTCCCTATCTGTGCCACCTCCCAGATCCCACGGCTACAGCCAGTCCCAAGTCCTTGTAATCACTCAGGGTTTGGCCTCAGTTTCCCCTTCTACCACGTCCCCCTCTCTTGGTGAGTTTGTGCATCTTGTGCCTCAGTAACCATCCTCCTGGCTGCTGACGACCCCGGTGCTCAGCGCCTGGTCCCTTTGAGGCCTGGCCCTGGCCTGGGACATCTTCACTTTGATGCCCTAGAGACCACAACTCACACACACACCCCTCCCCACACCTCTATCTCCTGTTACCCAGGGACACAGATATTTGTTGCCTTGACTCCCTCCTCACCAGTATCTCAGGAATCTGTGCCCTTTTTTACTCCCATTACCACCCTAGTCAAAGCCTTGTTACTTCTCACAAGCGTTAACCCTCACCTCCCCGCCTCCATCCAGGCTGCCTTAGTCAGGTCTATTCTCCACTGGGCAGCAGAGCCTGGATGGTCTGGCCCTCCCCTCAGTCTTAGCTAGCTTAGCAGTTAAGAGACGCACAATACTTTGCCTGCCTCTGAGTTTTTATGGAAGCCTGGGGTACTCCCAAACAACCCACTCCACTCCCAGGCAACTTCAGATGTCAGCTTAATGTGTAGCTTCTTCCAAGAAGCCTTCCATGATGCCCCACTCTTCCAAGCAAGGTTGGGTACCCCGGTAATAGGCTTCATTGTATCTCAACTGAGCTGTTATCCCATCATACTATTTCCTTGAGACAGGGACCCCAAGCCCCAGTTCTCAGGTGGCTGGCCCTGAAGGGGCCCTTCCCAAACCCTGCTTGGCTGAATGAATGAATGAGTGGAATACGGTGAGATGGAGACGCATCCTGTGCATCTGTTTCAAGACTGGAAAAAGTTCGGGGCTGGGATGGCAGGGGTGAGGTTATGGGATGGGACTGGCAGGACCCGGGACCCAAGCCCTTTGTCCTCCCTGGCCTGCTGGCTCTGGTGGCTGTCCCTGCTAACATCATATGCACGACTGGCTCAGGGCCAGCAGGGCCCCGTCCTGCTCCACCCACCAGCCCCCCAAGGAGAAGCACCACAGGCGTGTACAGGTTGGTTTATTTACAAATATACTGATGTCTCATCTTTTTTTGTTGCTGTTTCCATTTTCTGCTTTTGTGGGAAGAGGTGGAAGGTGAGAGTGGAGGGCAGGGTGGGGTGGTGATATGGTAAACGCTAATAAATAATTTAACAATGACAAGTTATTAAATAAAATGTGTCTGGGGATGGCGGGTGGGCAGTGAGAGTCTGTACAAAGAAAACAGAGGAATGGCCAGTGGCTGGGACCCCACACTGGGCTGGGCTGGGCTCCTGCGGGACCCCAGGGTAGGGAAGGGGCTGACCTACAGTGGTGCCTCCCAAGGGCTAGGTGCTGGAGGGTCCCTCCTGCCCTCAGCCCCAGGCAGCTTGTGCCCATGAATCCACTGCGGGTGTGTGAGTCTCTGTGCGCGTCCGGGAGTGTGTGTGTGTGTGGGCATGTGTGCGAGTGTGGAGCCCTTTCCCCCAGGGGGCAGAGCCAGCCCCAGAGGCACAGGCTCTCCCTCACCGAGCTGGGGCCAGGCAGCTGTCAGCCAATCCTCCTTCCTTGCTGAGACTCCCAGTGGGCTAAGTGAAAAGGGCAACCAGATTGGCAGGGGAGGCTGCCTCACTGCCAGGGTCTGCAGAACTTCCTGAAGGAGAAGAGGCTGACCTGTAACCCTGTGCCAGCCCTGCTCATCTGGGTGTGGCGCCCAGGCCTGCCCATACCCTGTCCATGCACATGACCCTTTTTTCTACAAGCTGTGCTGGCCCTTTGACCCCTGTGACCATGGTACCCTCTTTGTGGCTTCCAGGAGAGTCTCTCAGGATAGCAGAGCACCTGACGGGCTTCATGGAGCAGGCAGGTGAGGTGCTGGCTTCCGGTCCCCCTCTGACTGACTCTGTTACCTGGGGTGAATTCCTTCCACTTTCTGGGCCTTGACTTCCCTGGGCTTTTCTCTAAGACTTCTTCTGCCCACTTCTCACATTCTGCCTCTTCCTCCAGAGCCCACACAGTTACTACCCTCTTCCCTTGGGTTTCTTACCCCAGCCCCACATGACAGTGATCCCTTATCACGGCAGGGGCAGGAGTGGTCCTGGCCACTGCTTGGAGCCCTCACTGGGGCTGCACTTCCTCCCATGAAGAGAGAACCTGCTCCTCTTGGCTCACCCCAGACCCTGGTGAGCCTGCTCGGCTCTGCCAGTTTTTGCTGGGTGACCCTGAACACCTCGCCCCCCTTCTTTGAGCCTCAGGCTCAAAGAAATGGGTCCCTAAAGTCTGGACAGGGCTAGGATGGAGCATGATGGCCTCTTCTTCTAGGAGAGAGAGCCTACATCTTGCTCACCTGGGCCCTATATCTAGTCCAGGACTGGGCAGAGTGGGCATTGGTGTCAGGGAGCCTGTGAAGGCTCCTAGACATGGCTGATGGGGTATCTTTGAGGGCTCCTCGGCTTTAACAATCTGTGTGGCACAAGTCTGAGTGTCCCTATGCTAGCTCCTGGCACAGGCCAGCATGGCAGAGGGAGCAGAGGCCTGGCAGGACCTGAGGATTCTAAGATTCTAGAGCAGGATGAAGTGACCCCAGTGGCCAGCAAGCTAACTAAAGACAAGTCATGCCCCAACATGGAGATCACTGGGTTGCCATGTCCTGTTCTCAGCTCTAGCTCTGACACTGGCTTGCTGTGAGACGACGTGCAGGTCTCACGCCCTCTCCCAGCTCTGAAATAAGGGAGGTGAAGCGGGTGAGCCATGTCTGATGTTCTTCCAGCTTAACACTCCTTAGAGCCCAGGGTGCTTTCTTGGGATTGCAATGTGTCCCTGGTACAATTCAGACTGAATGTGCAAAGACGGGGAGCATGTCTCCAGAAGCCAGTGTGGCTGCCCAAGGGACCAGAACTGGCATGGGTTTCGGAGGGGCTGAGGCTACAGGAGGACCAAGGACCTCAACTGAGGTCCTTGGCCAAGTTCTGCTTATAACAGGAAGAGCCCCAGAATAGCTGGCTGCTCAGGCTTGAGGGGTGACACTGAGCCATGTGCTCCCCTCTGACAGGCCTGCCCTGGGGAAGAGCATGGTGAAGTGTGAGTACAGAAGCCCAGCATGAGTGAGGCAGGTGGCCCAGAATGCTCTGGAGGGACTGAGGTCCCCACAACGCAGGGAGCAAAGCACAGGCAGGTTGGTGAACTCTTGAGGATTCTAGGGAAAGCCAGGCAGAGGGGCCCAAGGTGGAGAGGGACACTCATCATCCTCAGGTACTCCAGGGTTGGACCAGGCTGACCTCAGGGTGGTGGCCTAGGCTGGACTTTAAAGGCAGGGTTGCAAGCACCTGAACAGGGCACAGTGAGTCCCAGGGCCCGGAAGGCTGCCCTCCCTTGCTTTGATGGGGTTTGTGCTGAGCCATCTGGAGCTGAGGTGGGGACAGGGTACCTGCTTCCAGAAGGGCACTGGACAAGATCTTTTGCAATATCCGCAGTCTTGCAAGGGGGCTGGACATGTGGTTGGAATGCATCGTCAGGGGAGAACTGGTTAATGGGCCAAAGCCAAATAGGGAGAGGCCCCCATGGGCCACACACCTAGAGTGATACTCAGGGACGACTCCTCATATCAGCAGATGCACGTGAGAGGGAGCAAAGCAGCGGTCACAGAGATGTACACAGAGACACACCCCACAGGCTGGACTGAATCCAGGAAGAGGGAACGGAACAAGAAAGTCACAGTCCTTCACTGGTTCTAAACAGTAAACACCCCCTCCCATCCTGCACTCACCCAGAGAAGAGACGCCTTAGCCGTCACTTGTGTGTGAGTGCCAAGGGATTCAGTTACAGAAGGGCAGGGTGAGTAGTGTCCAATGCCATGTGGCCCAAACACTCAGTGGACCTTGACTGCATTACAGAGGCAGGGCATCAACAGCAGGGGAGGTGATGGGCCAGCTCACTTTTGGCAGCTGATGTCTGCCCCACACCTTTACAGGGAAACCTGGAGCCCTGCAGGAGGGACCGTCTAGGAGGGACAGCAGGAGTCACCTGGCGCTGAGAGACCAGGACTAGGGCTGCATGGGACAGAGCACCAGAGGTGTGGGGAGGGGTAGAGTGGTTTGGGAGGGAGCCAAGCAGCAGGTGGAGTGTCAAGTGAGTACTTCTGCGGTCCCTGTTTACCCAGAGGTCTTGCTGTTTGACCTGATGCTACCTGGTTCTGGAGGCTCTGTCTCTGCTCTCCCTGTCCAGGCATCCCCCTCTGGGTCCACATGCTTTAAGCTCAACCTCCCTCTCCTCTTCCCCTCTGTCCCCATTCCAGCCTCCTTTCTGCTCCCTGACAAGGCAGGGCAGGCTTGCAGAGCGCCCCGTGCCTTTCAGCATCCCAGGGGCTGTGTGCATGTGCAGGGTGTGCCTGTACACGTGTGTGCATGTGCCTCCTCTCCCTTTGGGTCTGCCTGGGCTCGGTCCACATCCCCAGCCCCCCACCCCCAGTGCCTCCCACTCAGGTAGAGCAGCTGTGGGCCTGGCACACCTGTGGGGCTCTTCCCCATAGCTGCAGGCAGACCAGGCGGGCCTGGCCCTTGCTGGAGGGGGAGGTGGGCACCACCACAGGGCCAGATGCACACACTTCTCAGGTCACAGGCATCATCATCCTGGGGCTGGCATGGGAACCATGAGGTTGGCTGGACACAGAGAGGACGTTTAAAAAAATAGAGAGAATTTAAGCTTCCCAAAAAAGAGATGGGGAGGGAGAAAGCGCTGATGGAGGCCGAGGTGGGGCTGGGAGGCATCCGAGAGCCATCCGAGAGCTCTGGGTCCCTGGGGGTGACAAGGTCTCTGTGGGTAGGACACAGCCTCTGCCCAGGCTGTGTCCATCTGCCGGTCTGGCTATGCCCAATGGACACTTTAGCCAGGCCCAGCTGCCCAAGGGGAGGGCACCGTATGGCTGTCTGTAGAGTCTATGTGGGCAACAGGGTAGGGGTAGCCAGGCCAGCTGCTAGGGTTGCAGTCCCACCCCAGGCCCTGTGCCCAAGCGTCCATGCGCCCGGCTGGCTCTCAGGAAGCGAAGTAGGAACTCTGCATGGAGTAGAGCCGGTCGATGGGGTTCCCTACGCGGGCCTGCAGGGAGCCCACATCTGAGGATCCGAGGAAGCAGTCGCTGAGGCTGGTTAAGGAGGTATCGCTGTCGATGTCATGGAAGATGGAGTCATTCCCTGGGGGACAGAAGGGGCATCAGGACAAGGGTGCTGGCTGGGACTCCTGGGGGCCCCATCAGCCCTGCAGGCTGTACAGCCGGAGGCCAGAGAGAGACAGGATGGCCTACTGGCCAGTCCTATTCAGAGGGACTGGCTGTCAGGAAGAGGCAGGTGGGCTGCACTGACTGGGCCTGCCTGTGCCCACAGTGGCAGGTGGTTATCACGGTCCCAGTCCTACCCAGCTGGGCAGGGAGTAGGGACAGTGCTGGGGTAGGCGGATGGTGGGGCGGCTTACCATAGGGGTTCATGTGGTCACCTGGCATTTGGGGCGGCGTGAGGCCCTGCTGGAAGGGGTCGCTGCTGCCATAGGGGCTCTGCTCCATGGCCACGATCTGCTGCTGCGGCGGGGCCAGCGGCGTGTAGGAGGCCATCATGCCCTCCATGCGGCTGGACAAAACCTCTGGGGGCAGAGCATGCCATCACTGCCTGGCCCTGCCTGGCCCATCCTGGCAGCCGCTCATGGCCTAGCTTCTCTGGAAGCCCCACAGATGTCTCCCAGGAGTCCCTTCTGACCTCCTTGGGACTCCCCAGGGGCCCCTTGCAGGCTGAGATTGTCCAGACACCTCACTCCCCAGCTCCTTCCCCAGACATGTCTCAGCTCCTCTTCCAGAATCAGTTTACTAAAATCTAGGGTCCCCCTACCCCATTCGCTGTTCCCCCCCACTCAGGGGCCTAGAGAGGGGACCTCATTTAGGTAATGGTGATTCTACATGTGCCATGCATACCCCACATCTGGGAGCACCAATGTCCCACACCTAGGACAAAGAGGCCCAGGAAAGGTTTCCTAGAGGAAGGGGTCCAACCCTTCTCTGTGACTTAAAGAATTAGTAGAAACTTGGCAGACCCAGCAAAGGTGAGGGCAGCAAAGGCCCAGGCTAGAGAACTGCCAGCACATGAGACCAGTGTGGGGGGACAAGCGAGAGAGGAACCTCAGCCATGGAGGGCCTTCGGGGGCTAGCTGGGTGTCAGAAGCCAGGGGTGGTCTTAGCAGGGTAAGGGTGAGACAGCTGGAGCCAGTGTACAAAGGAGGTCTGGGGAGGGGCCGGGGTCTCACTCCTAGGCGGGGGTGAGTAGAACCCGGGAAAAGAAAACACCCTGACTTAGCAATGCCATGCATGAGGGACAGGAAGGTCCAAGGTGACTCCTGGGTTCCTGGCCTGGGCAACAGGGTGGACTATGGTACCACTCAGAGACAAGGCGGGGAGGGCAGGGTGTGCCATATACGTGTGGGCAGTGGTGGGAGTAAAATATGGGTGGGAGACTGTGGGACATTCTCAGGGAGGCTGTGTCTAGGGGGTAGCTAGGAAGATTGGAGGGTGAGACAGCCCAGGAGCTGGCTGGGAGGGCAGAGGCAGTGACTGCAGCCCCACAACGGGCAGAGGGAGGAGGAAGGAGAAGCTGGGCTCTCAAGCCCCACATCTAGTCTGGCTCTGGCCTGGCCTTGAGTCCTGAGAAGAAGGGGCTGCCCAGCAGTGCCCTGTGCCTTAGAGTAGGCAGCTCTGCCTCCAGCCGTCCCTGCACCCTCCCTTCACAGCCCTGAAGGCTCAATGTTGCCATGGGCCCCAGGAGACCAGTCTTGGCCCCAGATCCTGATGTGGAAACAACATTTTTAGCAAAGCCCAGTGTAGGGGAGCCTGACCCCTTTCCTTAGACTGGTCCCTTACCACCCAAGCAGACTCCTCAGCACCCTGACAAACTCTGTCAGGAGATTTCTGCTGAATTCTAGCTGCAAGGCAGTGCTATCCTATTAAAAGCACAATTGATGAGCCTTATGCCTGGGGCTGAGGTTCAGCTTTGTGCCTCACTGGCTGAGAGATCCCAGGCAAGTTGCTTAATCTCACCAAACCTCAGTTTCTTCATCTGTGAAATGGGAATGGCAACACCCTTCTCTGTAGGGCTCTGTGAGAACTGAGTGGGATGGATTGTGCTCAGTGCTGAGACCCAGGCCTTACACAAAATCACTGTTCTGACTGCAGAAACTCAGCTGTCCCTTCTGCCTTCTTCCTCCCCACATCACCCGGCCCCATTGCTTTTCTACTTCTCTCAGTCTCTGAAGAGTTTAAGGCAGAAGTTCCCTGGGTTTTGATGGCCTTGGTGAAGGTTTCCTGGGAATCTAGTTAAAAGAGACAGTGGGATCCTCGGTCCCCAGTCCCAGCCCCAGCTTACCCTGGCCCAGCCGCTGGGAGTTCTGCTGCTCCTGCTGCTGCTGGTGCCGCCGGGCCAGCTTCTTCATCTGCGGGGACAGCATGGTTTAGGCCTGGTCCTCCCTGCCCCACCCCCAGGTGGACCCATCTCCTGTCTGTCCTCTACTCCCACCCTGGCCGGGACTAGTAGAGGCTGGAGGTGGCCACTCACCTTTGCTCTTTGGTTCTGAAACCAGACCTGGACCACACGCACACTGAGGCCCGTCTCAGCCGCCAGTGTCTCTCGGACCTGGCTCGGAGAGAAGGAGACAGGTTAGGCCCATGGGGGCAGGGGCGGGGAGGTGGCAGGTTTGGGGCATGGGGGTGGGTGGGTGGAGGGACATGGCGGGACATCCTGCCCCAGCAAGTGCAGAGGGGGTAGGACCTGGAAAGGCAGTGGGGGTGGGGTGTGAGGTGTCTGCCCCAGGTCCCCCTCACCTTCCGGCAGGGCTTGGAGGAAACCTCAAAGGAGGCCTTGAAGGCTCTTCGCTGCTGTGTGGTGAGGATGGTCCGGGGTCGCTTGGGCCTCCTGGGGTCCTTCCCGTCATCCCCGCTGCCCTTGCTCTGGCTGCCTTGCCCCTTGGCCGGCTTCATGTCCCCATCCTCGTCCTCACTCTTCACTGTGGGGGAGACAACCCAGCCTATCAAGCTGGGCTGAGGGGTGGCCCAGGCCCCAGCCTTGTACCCTCAGGCCACTTGCTGCCTGATGGCCCCCTTGCCCTCTGCTGATACCCACATGGCTCCCCAGTAGACTCAAGATGAAGTCTACCTCCCTTCCCTGGACACAGCTTGGCTGTGGCTTGCCTTGTCTCACTGACCTCTGGTCCATAGGAGACCAGGCTAGCATGCCACCTTAAAGAGAACCAATTCCCACTGTACCAGCCCAGTGCCAGGCAGACACAAGTGGCTCAAGAGGAGGCTGCTAAGAGTTTCTTCCTTGAAGCTTCCAAGGATGAAGACTTGACAGGCAAAGGCACACGTACCCGACATTCTCACGAGAATGTTCATGAGCACAGCATGCAGGTGTGCACACACGCAGATGCACACCGGCACATGCACATGCAGACTGGCACATGGGCCTGCAAGGGCCCAAGCACATACGGCTCCCAGGAATACCCACATACAGGCTGTACTTGTGGGCAGGGACGAAGAGGGGCATGCACAGCACACAGAAGCACATGTCTTCACCCAGTGACACACCCACAGCCACTTCCACACCCGCTGTGTGAGTCTCAGAGATGCCAGCCCAGATGGACGGTAGAGGCACCCCACCCACCTCTGGGTCTCTTGCTGCTGCTTGTCTAGACTAGTCTCCTTCCTCCAGCCCTGTCTTCCTCAGAGCATGAGCCCCCAACAAGGGGGCCACTCTTCTCCTGCCAGGACTCCCTTTCCCTGGCCTGGTATGAAGTGACCATGGCACCAGGTCAGCCTCTGCTCTTCCCATGGAGTCCAGACACCAATGGGACTGGCCATGGTGCTGTCCTGCCCAGGGACAGCAGTGACAGATGGAGAGCTCACTGCCTCCACCATGGCTCCTAGCAGTGACAAACTCTTCCTGTGCGGGCAGATCCTGCAACTGTGGGGCCCATGGTCACACAAAGGGCTGGGGAGACCAGGACCTCTCCTCTCCATGCTTCCTGCTCAAGTCCTTTCCCACTATTCCCAGGAATGACAAGGGCTGAGGCCACCACCAGGCCTTTCCCTCCTTCAGACACATTCCAGCTCGCCTTGCCCTTCTTGTCAGGAGGACACCAAACTGGCATAGTCCTTTTGGGGTCTGGAACAGAGCACAGAGGTATCTTCACCCTGGAAAATGGGGTCTTTTCCTCTTTCCAGAGGGTCCCAGGACCCCCAGCTGAGAAACAGGGAATAGCTCAGGACAGTCTGCTCCCCACTGCTGAAGGCTTTGGGGGGCCAAGGAGGGGAGGACACATCAGATCCCTGCTTCCCAAAAGGTTCCTACCCTGCAGTGGTGTGGTGCTGTGCCACATCAGAGAGGGTAAGGGTGGTAAGAGGACAAGAGGGTGTGTGTATACATATGTGCAACCACAGGCCACCATGGCAGCCATATGTAGAGTAGCTGGGTCATGTATATGTATGTTTAAGTGGGTGTTTACCTGGGTATGGCTTTTGCATGCTTGGTCACACATATGTGAGTACATATACATGCTCCAGGGCATGGGCATCTCCAGGTACATGTTACATGTGTGTACACACATGACCACATACATGCCAGTATGTATGGATATGTGTGCCTTAGGGAGTGTGCACACGAGTGTCTGCGTGTACATATACACATGGATGTGTGTGCCTATGCAGCTCAGGCCCTGGATCAGGGCCCAGTGTCTCCGGACAGGACTCCCCTGAGCACACCCCACTGAGCCCCCTTCCCCAAGGCCTGCCGCCACTCTGGCCAGGGCTTACCGGAGTCGGACTCGTCAGGGCTCACGGAGCTGAGCAGGTCCTTCTCCTTCTCGTAGTCACCCTTGCACAGCAGCTGGCCCTCCTTGAGCACAAACTCGTCGCCCTTGCGCAGCTGCCGCTCGCACACGCAGCAGCAGAAGCAGCCCAGGTGGTACACGCACTCCAGCGCCCGCATCACAAATTCGGTGGGGGCGATCTTCTCCATGCAGCCGCTGCACTTGGCTGCGAAGAGCCTGCAGGTGCACAAAGGGGAGCGTTGGCTGGGCTCAGGGGTCCCTCCCAAGGACTCTGATGCTGAGAGCCTCTCCCTCCTGCCACCCTGACCCTCCTGGACATGGGCCCAGACAGTGGGGGACCTGCAGCCCTATTCTTCTGCCTCAAGGGTACCCAGGTGAGTGCAGGGCATCCTGATGAGAGGTGCCTCTCCTGGGCGGGGATGCTCAGGAACAAGGTGGCCACTAGAGGGCAGTGTGCAGAGTCCATCTTAACCTTCCCACAGGCCAGGACATCCTCCTGAGAAGAGTTCCTTCCACCCTCACTCCTGACCAGCTCTGCCTCCAACCTGATGCTCACTCACCCCTGTATCCAAGCAATTCCCAGCCCTGTCCAACCCTCCACCCTGCTTGGGCTCCTCCTCTCCTGTCTGAGCAGCAATCAGTCCCCTCCATGGGTTCCTGGCCCCTCTAGCCCTTCAACAACTCCTCCTCCCCAAACACATACACACACAGGAGCCACAGGGATCTTTCTAAAACTCACATCTGATCATGATGACTCTTTGCTCCAGACTCTTCCATGGCTCCCTAGTTCCCTTAGGGAAGTGGTTCTCAACCTGTGGGTCGCAACCCCTTTTTAGTAATGAAAATATATTGCAGCATTAGGAAGGTTGAGAACCACTGCCTTAGGGGAACATCCAAGCTCTTGAGCCTGATGCTCAAGGCCTGTCATGATCCTTTCTCTTCCCTCACCATCTTCTGCTTCCCTAGCCTGAGGCCCACATAGCAGCCTATGGCTTCTCCAAAGCACCATAATAGTGGCAGAGCCTTTTAACATGTTCTTTCTCTGTCCCTTGGCTTGGGTAATGCCTCCGTTTCAGCTTCCGTACCGCCATTGTGAGCAGATATGTACTGAGCATGTGCAGCATGCCAGGTGCTGTGCTAACAACCTTACGTGCAGAGACGCATTTAATCCTTGCAACAACCCTAAGAGGTAAGAATGAATATTAACCCCATCTTAGAGATAAGGAAATTGAGGTGCTAGGAGGCAGAGCTGCTTGTTCAGGGCCACATGAGTAGTAAATGCTACAGCCAACACTCAGCCTTGGTCTGGTCCAGATGGGACAAAGGTGTTCCATCTCCCATCTCCACAGACAAATCTGGGCACATGCTGGCCAGGCCTGGACATGCCCACCCATGTTTGTCTGTGGAGATGGGGGATGGAACACCCTGCCCGTGCCTGCTGACCACTGCTCCCAGCACCCCCCACCCCGTCACGTGCCCTGCTCTGTGGGAACTCAGCCTCAACAACACTTTGATGGAAAAATTTATGAAGAATCAAATTATTGCTGCTGGGAGGGAATTAAAACCATTTTTCATTCCCTGCGTCCCTGGGCCACGTCTGCGGGCGCCACCTTGGGAGCGCTGTGCACATCCCATCCCTCTTTATGGCCCGCCATTGCGGGCACAGATTACAGCTGCAATTCTCTACTAATCGGTTCTGGAACAGAAATGGCCATAAACAGGAGGCACTTGCCTGCCTCCCTTCCCGGGGCTGCCATCAGCACCGCCCACAGCGAACTAGTGGGCAGGTGGACAGGGTCAATTCCATCTCTGCCTGCTGTCCTGGCACTAGCCAGGAACTCAGCTTGAGGGTACCCCTAGTAACCCCTACTACCTACCTCCATTCTACCCAGCAGGCTCCTACTCATCCTGCAACGCCCAGCTCCAAGGCCACCTCCTCTGGAAGCCTTCTCTGATGCCCCAGTGTAGGGGAGGTGGCCTCCTCTGTTCCCCTGAGCTTCCCTCTGGCCTCAGTTTTCTCTGCTGTAAAATGGGATGTCAGGGGAGCTTGAAGGCTGTCATCAGGATTCAATGATATTGAGCATATAACTTGGTGACTATCAGAGCAGAGTGACAGTGCATGTCCCCATCAGTGCCCAACTCTACTGGTTCCACAATGCAGGACCTGGCTCCATCTGATCCTCTAGGTGACCTCAGCGTTTGCACAGCAGGTGAGTGAGTTCTGGGGTGAGCCAAGACTGAGGCCAGGCTTTCTGCTCCAGACAGGGAGAACTCCACTAGCCTACAAAGTGCATGGCTGTTCAAGGGGAACATGGGCTGAAAGCTGGATTTTGGCTCTAATTTGGCTCTTAGGCTGGGTATGTTCAGGGTACAAACTACCCAACTGTCCATGGCAACTTTAGGCAGGGGCCCTAGGAATCTGTTTGGCCCTCCAGCTCTACTGAGGGGCTGAGAAAACAGCTCAGGTTTGCAGAACCTGTGCCTCTTATATGTAGGATGCCACTGCCTCCTTCCCCCTACTGCCCCTCTGGTCTTCCCTATACTGCCTGTTCTAGGGGCCCTACAGAGGTGTGCTGCCTGACCTCTATGGCCTGTGACCAAATAGTCACTGGCTGTGTGTGTCTCTGCTGGCACAGCAGGGTCAGGGTCCTAGGCCAGGGTCAGTACACACTGGGCGGTTCCCAGAGAGACCTTCTCAGGCTGTACAGGGGGGCAATAGGGTGGGTGACCCGCATTTGCAGTCAGTGCCACCATGCTGGCTGCATTCAGAACAGCCACGCTAATGCCTTGGCAGCAGGGGGTCGATTGCTACTTTCTCCAAACTCATCAACACAATCTATTATTAATACTTCTCCAAAGGCCCGGTGCCGCCATTACAGAGGCAGCGCCAGCCACTCGGGGCATCATCTGTTATCTAGATTGCAAAAACTCAGGATATAAAACAAACCGCATGCACTTTATAAATGGAATGCGCCATCCGTTTGGTCTCCAAGCATCTCTCTACCCAATAAAACATCGGGGGGGATGCATGAAATACTCGCTCCCAATTATGGGGCTGCCTTTGTCTACCATGCTGGGGTGAGAGCTACTAATGGCAGGTGCAGGAGGGGTTGGGGGGCACCAGTGGGGTCCCTTCTTCTCTGTGAGCTCTCATTCCCCCCCTCAGTGCCTCTCACAATGGAGGGACTGGTGGTGACAGCCCCCCAAGAAGCCCCTGAGAAGCAGGCCCAACCACAGGCAGGGTTGCTGAAATCAGATAAACCTGGGTTCAACTGCCTGGTCTGCCATTTTGCTGACTGGTGACAGGGCAAGTGATTACATCTTCCCAAGCCTCAGCTTACTTATCTGTATAGTGGGCTGAACACACTGCCTGCTTCTCAGCATGAGGATACAGTGAGCTGTCAGTGTAAATCAGTGGGCATAGCCCAGGGTTCCATCCTGGCTCTATAACTTTCTCACTGTGTGACTTTGTGCAAGACATTTATTTAACCTCTCTGAGCCTCAAATTCTTCATCTATAAAATGGGAATGACCCAATCATAGGGTTGTTGTGAGAGTTAAATGCATTTAAAGCCCTCAGCACTGTGCTGGCATGAAGAAGGCACGCTGCAGAAGTCTGCCCTTCTCTGCCCTTGTCCGTCCCACATGTGTCCCAAATGCCCTGTCCATCACCCTTGCTAGGGTCTCCATAATTTGGGAGCAGTCTCCCCAGTATTGGTTGGATCTATAGGTCCCAGATACAGCTCCTTCTTACCACCACCCTGGGTTTTGGGGTGACCTGTTCAGCTTCCGTCAGACCTGGTTTGAACAGAACACTGCTGATTCAGTTTTCTGTCCCATTAATAGTACTGAGCACTGAGATTACTCAATTACCATCTGCCTGTATTGCCTCATGAAATCCTCACAGAACCCTGACAGGAAAACCTGTTCCTATCCCCATTTTACAGATGAGCATACCAAGGTGCAGGGTACTGGTTCAAGGTCACAGAGCAGCAGTACCAACAGATAACTACCCTCTGCCCTTCTCTGTGCTCTGGGTACCATGACCTTCTCTGTTGGCCCCCCAAAAGCTGTGGCCCAATTCACCCTAAGTTCTTATTTTTTGGCATGAGCTCAGCCCGCAGAAGTCAGGGCTGGGCATTGGGTTTTTTTTAAAAAACCAAACTTAAGGGCCAGGTGGCTCATACCTATAATCCTAGCACTCTGGGAGGTGAAGTGGGGGGACCGGCTGAGCTTAGGAGTTCCAAGGCCATTCTGAGCAAGAGCAAGACTCCGTCTCTAAAAATAGTGTTGTGGCGGATGTCTGTAGTCTCAGCTACTCAGGAGGCGGAGGCAAGAGGATTGCTCAAACCCAGGAGTTTGGGATTACTGTGAGCAAAGCAGACACCACAGCACTCTACCCAGGGTGACCAAAAAACCCCCCAAAACAAAAAACCAAACTTAACACCCCCCAACCTGCCCCCCAACACATTTTTTCCCTGTTGGAACAGCTGTGATTACGGAGGAAGAAGTTCCATTTTTAGGGGCATCCCTCCCTTGAAGAGTCCCAGGCTGTGAGAATTACCTCCAGAAATTTTATTGGTTTATTTGTTTAATGCTCAATTTATTAATCTCATAAGGCTAACAAACAAAACTCTGAAAACCAATTTTGGGGGGAGCATTTGAAGATGGATTACAAATCTGATTAATTTCTCTTAAGTCACTGAAAACTGCAGAGACACATGAAGCACAGCTGATTCCTTCACCTCCATTAAAGGTGGCTTCCTAACATCCTGAGGCACTTCGGCCTCTCCAAGCAGGTCTTCACTTCCAGATCTTAAGAGTCCATGTGCTGGACCTGGAAACCTGGCTCTATCCCTTCCTACCACTGGAATCTTGTACAAGTCCCTTCTCTTGAGTCACAGTATCCTCATGTGTCCAAAAGGGATAATGCTAGAGGCTGACTTACAGTGCCATGCACATGAGATGGGATCAGCAAGTGGGGTCATGATCACTGTCATCACCTCTCCAGGACTTCCAGCACCTTCACCACCCTTAGAGTGGAAGCTCCCTTACCTCCTCCTCACTGCCATTCCCACACCCCATGGCTGCACTTTATAGTTTATGTTGCCCTTGATGGGTTCTCAGAACAGTATGTGCTTTTCCACTCTCAGTGGGCCTCCTCTGCCCTTGAGATAACCCTACTCATTCCCTCTCTCACTAGCCTACTCTACCCTT